GTGAGCTCTCGGGGTGCCCGTGCCCCCATAGGTGCTGCCAGCCCCACGGCAGGTCTCCTCTCGCAGGCGGCGCTGGGCTGCCGGGCGGCGCAGGTGCTGATGCAGTACTGCATCCTGGCCAACCACTACTGGTTCCTGGTGGAAGCCGTCTACCTCTACAAGCTGCTGATTTGGGATGTCTTCTCTGAGAAGAATTACTACAGGCTCTACCTCTACCTGGGCTGGGGTAGGGGCCACCCGGGCGCGCGATGGGGACGGTGTCGGTGAGCGCCACAGCCCAAACCGGCCCGGAGAGGGTGTGGGGTGGGTGCTCTGCTGACCCTGGATGTCCCCATGGTGTCCCCCACCCCAGGGCCGGTTGCTCAGCTCAGGCGGGTGCTTGGTTTTACAGGGTGTGCTGTGTGACTTGCAGGGACCCCCGTGGTGTTCGTGCTGCCCTGGATGGCCGCCAAGTACCTGAAGGAGAACGTGGAGTGAGTGGGGAGGGATGGGGGGGTCCCGCCAGGATGCTCACTCAGCCCTGGGCTGGGGTTTGGGATGGAGCTGGCTCTGGGGCCCCTGTTGCACCTTGCTGGGGCTGGCATGCTCTTGGCCTCATCCTGCACCCCCTGGCACAGCCTGATGGTGCTGCTCTCCATGTCTCCCTGGACAGGTGCTGGGCGCTGAATGAGAACATGGCTTACTGGTGGATCATCCGCATCCCCATCCTGCTCGCCTCCCTGGTAGGGGGGCACCCGCCAGCCCCACACTTTTTTGGAGAACAGCAGCTCAGCCCCTGGCTACCAGCCCCAAGGGGGGACCATGGCCCCCAGGGCAGCTCCCAGCCTTGCCCCGGAGGGAGGGGTTGGCCTCCAAGGCATCACACTAAATGCACATGGGGGTTTGGGTTTGCCCCAGTTTGCTAACCCCCAGGCTCCAGGGGTCTGTGCAGGGAGGGGCTGTGCTGAGCCCCAAAGAAGGGGGGCTGGGGGTGGCCCCTGCTGCTTCCTAGCTGGGATTTGGGGATGGTGAGAGGGAAGGAAGGGCAGGTCTGGGGACCCAGCACCGCTGGGCTGCAGCAGCCTTGGCATTACAGGGAGGGGGGTCCCTCCTGCAGCCCCCCAAGGGTGTATCATGGCCAGGGTGGGCTGTGAGGGGTGGGGGTGCTGGGCTACACGTGCCCCTGCACTGTCTCCCCCCACCCCAGATCAACCTGCTGATCTTCCAGGGGTCTCTCAAGGTGATCCTGGCCAAGCTCCGCGCCAACCAGAAGGGCTACGCCGACTACAAGCTGCGGTGAGCCGGGAGGGGGGGGCTGGGAGGGGGCCTTCCTGGCCCTGGGGCCCCACCACCTCCCCATCCACCTCCCCCTCCCTCCTCCGCATCATTAAACAGCCACCCCGAGATTAAGCAAGAGCTCGTCCCTGCCTGCACCTCTGCCCCAGCCCTTTAGTCCTCGCTACCAGATGGGTCCCCTTGTCCCCTTCCAGGCTGGCCAAAGCCACCCTCACCCTCATCCCCCTCTTCGGGATCCACGAGGTGGTCTTCATCTTCGCCACCGACGAGCAAACCACGGGCATCCTGCGCTACGTCAAGGTGTTCTTCACCCTCTTCCTCAACTCCTTCCAGGTGAGGCGGGAGCACGATGCCTCCTCGCTCTGCCCTGGGCACACTATGGAGGGGGAATCAGGGGGTTGCTCTCCCCAGGGTGCCCCCCTGGGGCTCAGGGAGGGGGACGCTGCCTCTCCCACCCCCAGCCCCGTTGCTGAGTGCATGATGGTGCCTCCTGCGCTGGGGCAGCGGTGGCAGGGGGAACCTCAGCCCCCAAAGCACCCAGAAACGGCAAGGGGAGACCAACCCCACCCCAGCCCTGGGAGAGGGGGGGATGGTGGGGCCTCATGCCCCTGCTCTCCCTCCAGGGCTTCCTGGTGGCCGTGCTGTACTGCTTTGCCAACAAGGAGGTACGTGCCCAGCGCCGGGGCTCAGCCGCGCCTCGGCCGGGGGCTTTGCCCTCCCACCCCTCGCCCCCTCGGTCTGCGGGGAGGGTGCAGGGAAAAAGCTCCCACGCCGTGGCAGGTGAAGTCGGAGATGAAGAAGAAGTGGCAGCTCTGGAAGCTCGACCACCCGGCGCTCCGCTGCACCCAGTGATGTGGCCAGTGGCCCCGCAGAGCCAGGGTTCTGAGGGGGCCCCGGGCCCCCCGGCCTCTTGCCAGACACTGCTGCCCCCTTGGAAGAGCCTCGCCTGGGCTGGGCGAGCTGCACGGGGAGCTGCGCCGGCTGCTTTCTACTGCTGCCCGTGCACCATCAGCTACCTCTGTTGGCATCCACCAGCCGTGCTCACGGGAAACTCCCTTCCCACCTGGGCATCTGCAGGAGGGGATCACGGGCTGGAGAGGGAGCCTGGCCATGGCCCCGGGTGCTGCTCCCACCCAGGGCATCCACGCTCTCCTCGCCCTAAGCAAGGGCCATCTCACTGACACCCCGAGACATCCACCCCAGAGCTGCAAAGTTCCTCTTCACAGCCAGGCGCTGCTTCTCCACCTTCTCACCACCCTCGTTGCTGACGCAGAACACAGCATGGGCACCCGCTGCGCTCCTCGCTGCTCGGGCAGAGCCGGGGCAGGAGGCACTGCTGCAGCTTCCCACGGCACTCGGGGACTTTGCTGCATTTACCCCCTGCGTTAGGGCAGCACCGCTCCTCCTTGGGTGACAGTGGCGGGGAAAATCATGAGTGAAGGACTTGAGAGCATCACCCAGCCTACAGCTGAGCCCAGGCCCAGCCTACAGCCCAGCCACCTCCTGCTTCGCAGCAGGAACCACCCTCAGCTCAGGAACCTTTTTGCTGACAAAAAGCTAGGATTTTCTGAGCCCAGGGGTGCAACTGCTGGGGCTGAAGATGCTGGCTTGCCAGCAGGGTGCCAAAGCAGATGCCACCTCCACCCCAGCCCCCATGCTCTTACCTTCACTGGCAGGACAGACTGTAGAGTCGTGCAGGAATTTTCCTGGATCGATGTAACCCCTGCAAGACCATTTTGCACATTAACCCTCTCTTCAGATGTAAATAAACGTTTATTTTTCAGCAAGCAGAGCGTGCTGCCTTGCATCTGCTCTGAGGGAGGGAAGCGGCCCTGGGGCTGCGCAGGGGAGGGTACTGGTTTGCCCTGGAGCAGGAGTGTTAAAGAAGTACCCAGGGCCCCTGGCTGGCTTAGTGCTGGGATTGCATGACAGGTTATACAAGGAGGAAAGTATTTATAAAATGCTTAAGGTGATGGTGATCAATAGGAACAGCGACCCCCGTCGCGTGCCAGCTCTGGTACCCGCAGAGCTGTCGCACACAGACCAAGGGAGGGGGTTGTTGCTCCTGGACAGGAGGGGAGTGTGGTGGTGTTGGATTGCTGGCTGGATTCTCCTCTGCTCTGTGCCGGGCACTGCTGTGTGTGCTTGGGGCATGGCTGCAGGGCCCCGTGCCAAAGCTGGAAGAGGCCACACAGCCTCAGGAGGAGAAAGCTGGCTCTCGTCTCGAGATCCAAGGCAGCCTCCCCGATGGATCAGGGCTTCCTCTGCTTCCAGGGACCCTCTGAAGTGCTGCTGTGGGTAAGACAGAGCTGAGAAAAGACAAGTAACCGTTCTCAACACCAAGGATCCCAAATTGCAGCACGAAAGCAGAGCCGTTCCCAGCTCTCCCTGGCAGTTTCAAAGCCGGGTAAGGAGCGAGAAGCCCTGCACGCTGGCCCGGCTGCTGCTGAAGGGCACAGGGCTGAGGTGGCAGGGAACAGAGAGTGACTCTGCTTCAAACCCCAACTCCGCTTAATTTGGGCCGAGATACACCAAGAGCTTTAGTTTTGACCAGAAAGAGGTTTTTCTGTTGCCCTATTTAAAACTTTTTGTGATAGCTGCTGAATGCTGCCCTCCTGACCGCCTGTCTCCAGTGTCGGATCAGAGGTTGGCTGAAGGTTTAGAAGAGCACAGTCACACCAACGGCGCACAACGGCCTCAGACTGGAGCTGGGCATGAGATCAGTGCTTCATCCCGAGGGGGAAATACCAGCACACAGCTCAACAAGGCCTGAACTCATTTCTGAATTAGCACAGAGACAACTTCAGTCACGCACCGGGCACCTTTCGGGGGCAATCCCCAGCCAGGAAGGCAAGAGCTGAGCCCTCAGAGGAGCACACGCTTT